CAGCGCTGATCTCTCTTTCGGCTTAATAATGCCAGTTACAGCGCGAAATAAACATTAATGAGCATCTGAAAGTGTGTTAAAACAGAGTACAACTTATCGAAATCCGTATCATGTAACATTGATTCGCTCAATCAGCGTTTGGAAAGACGTCAGTTAAACAGCTTGTAATTAATGTCATGTATCGTCATATTTACCTCAGAAAACCCACATCAACTCGTTAGTCAGTTAGAAAAAATAACTCTAGAGAGGAGCATTTTGCTAAATCTATACACCATATTACATATGTATTATAATCTTAATGTTCTTCAATATTTAATGCATATTTGAATAAATATGGCAGGTTTTTATGACAGCCACCATTTAAATTTTTATATTTCATATAATCTTCTTATTATAAAAATAAATAAAAGTGTGATTTAAGTGTTTGTATAGCTACAAAACAGTTCATTATTACCATCATATTAGGCTAATGAAGTCTATAGGCTACAACTAGACTCCCATAGTTTACAGCATTTAGGAGATTTGATTCCCTTGAGAAAAATGGCCATTTATTGTAACTGATATCCAAAATAATCGATATTGAATCGAATCGAAATCGAATTGCAAGCTTGTGAATCGAAATCGAATCGAATTGTGAAATTTGTCCCAATACCCAGCCCTAAAATCTATGATTGTGCAGTATTCAAAATGCCTTTTACATTTCAAATCAACTCCTGAATTTGAATTGCAGTGAAATTCACACTGTTTGGCTGTAGAGCACATACAAAGAAATGTCATTCGGTAAGCATAGTTATGAGGAACCTCAGGTGCTTCTTCCCAAACTGGACGAGATTAATGCGCTGCCTAGACCGCAGCTATACAAACCCAAGACCCAGCTACGACACAGATAGACATATGAATCCAAGGTCCAACAGGCCATGAGAGAGATAGAGAAGATGTTTTAAAAAGCATTTGTCATGCGTAAGGCTGACACGATGTTAAACAATGACACTTTGGGGCTGATTACGGCTCATATTGCTGTAAGTTATGGTGTGTGGAGGTCACAGGGTCAAGGTAGGAGTGGGGATAATAGGATCTGGTGAAGGCCTGGCTCGTGCGGAGTTAATTACGAGGGCCACATAGGTCCCTCTGTTCTCCTTCTCCTTGTAACTCATACCTAAATGAGCTTTGGAGTCTGACTTCTGAAGGGTTAGACCTTCATCTTCTCAACGGCACCTGATTCATCTGCAGACACACATACATGGGGCAGTTTAAACAGCTGAGCGGCTTCACCCCCTGCTCAGCTGCTGCTAATGGCCGTGTGCTGGCCGGCCCTCACACAAACAAGCGTACATTCACAAACACACATTCTAAAGTTCAGGAAGAGTGTGTCCTGATTGTTTTGTTTGATTTTCATACAACGCTGTCTCCAGGGAGTCGCTGTGACTGGCAGAAAGGGGAGGTGGGCGGACGAATGTACTGTCTGTGAACTTTGCTGAAACTTCTACTACACTGGCGCTCCGCAGAAAGACGGACTATTGTGTTACATTCATGTGGATGAAAAGCACAGAACATCTAGAGATCTTTACATCGATGTTGAACGCAACAAATCAGAGAGCTTTGTGGGGGACCTGTGCGCTAGACATAACCGAAAATAGGAAATGTGCAAGGCCTAATCTGAGCCAGCCACTGCTAAAGGGATGTGGTCATTTCTACTGGTGGAGGACTTGACAGATAAATCAGATGCTATTTTGGGCTCTATTTAAATATTTGGTCTATGTTGCAGAGCCGAGGTTTTATCTAACTAAAAGTAGTGACGCTATTGGTTTAAAGGGATATTTCACCCAGAAATGAAAATTCAGTAATCATTTAAATCACCCTCATGTCGTTACAAACCTGAATGTCTTGCTTACTTCAGGTGACCCAACGGTGTCCTAAAACTCCATCAGGTGACCTAATGGTGTCCACAAACTCCATCAGGTGACGTAATGGTGTCCAAAAACTCCATCGAGTGACCTAAAGGTGTCCATAAACTCCATCAGGTGACCCAATGGTGTCCAAAAACTCCATCTGGTGACCCAACGGTGTCCTAAAACTCCATCTGGTGACCCAATGGTGTCCACAAACTCCATCAGGTGACCCAATGGTGTCCACAAACTCCATCAGGTGACGTAATGGTGTCCAAAAACTCCATCAAGTGACCTAAAGGTGTCCATAAACTCCATCAGGTGACCCAACGGTGTCCTAAAACTCCATCTGGTGACCCAATGGTGTCCACAAACTCCATCTGGTGACCCAATGGTGTCCACAAACTCCATCAGGTGACCCAACGGTGTCCTAAAACTCCATCAGGTGACCCAGTGGAGAAAAAAAAAAACCTTGGGAGAACCCAGGCTCAGTCGGGGGCCAGTTCTCCTTAGGCGTTTATGAACTAGAGGCCGGATTTGCAGTAACTGTAAGGTAAAAATGTATATGAATTTCTCTAAACAGACTTTAAACGCGAACCTGTGATAAACGCTGATGGCGTTCACATGTTTGAATATATGTGCGCAGGTTTGAAAATCCCTACAGAACCATGCCTGAACAAACTACTTGTCTTATCTATAAATTTGATACAGAATTTTGTTTTATTTTATCACTTCGAGGTGGGTACGCGAAACGACATTGCGACATTGTACATTGCGTAGCACATTGGTGGTACATTGCGTCTCACGGTTTATGTCATTGTATCACCTGTTTTTCAAAAGTGTCCCAATCAGATCGCAAGGCTCCTGTAGCACAAACAATACAGCATGGCGCTTAAAATGACATCATGCTTTAGGATTCCAGGGAGTGAATAAACTGGTTTATTTATTTTTTATATGCAAGTAACATTGGATAAAAATGTCTGCCAAACACCATCGTAGCAAATCATTTCAATAAAGTCATTTCCGAGTACTTGTGTGCAGCTTCAGCACGAGAAGAAGAGGAGAAAAGCTGGCACAATCCAGGATTATTCTTTCTGCCCCCCTCTCTCTCACACCTCGTCATCTTCCTCCTCATTTATAAGCTGTTGAAATCAGCCATTAATCCTACATCAAAAGCAGAGAAAGGCATCTCGACCCGTCACTCAAAAGGGGGCCCATCTGATTATAACAATCCAATTTTATTGCGAGTTTCATTAAGGGGCTTTTCGCCATGTGCGGAATGCAGGAATGCGATACCTCTCTGGGCATGTGCACCACAGACATGTAATCAGCACACACCAGCAGCCTCGCTTCTTGGATCGCTCATGCTTAGTTACGGCACCAAAACACAGAAAAACAATAATTTCAACTGGGTAGCCGACGCCGTAATTGCAGTGCCCAAACATTCTGCCATTAAAATGCCAGGGTCTTCGGACCCCAAAGGCCAAGCCTGAAGAGTATGTATCCGTATCCATGGCAAACACAGCATAGCATGCACACAAAAAGTCAAATTACAAGTATCTTGAGACACGGTAGGGCAACATCATACCCTGAGGATGCAATTTAACATCAAACTATGAAGATTAGGGGGACAAGACTGCATTCAATGATGGTGGTTGCGAAAGTTGCGTAAAAATCTCATTAGATGATGAAATGTTACTCTTGCCGCTAGAGAGCTATAAACATGGACCTACGATGGATATCAAAAGTAAAACTGTTTACCAACAAACGAGGAGGAATAGAATGAAGCATTAACACAAACATATTGCTATCTCCAAATAACAATAATGCACATATGACTCATGGGTTAATGAAAATGTCATCATGAAAAAAAGTCAAAGCCTAGTGGTAGGTGCCAACACTTTTTGTGGTGCTCATTCAGACACCACAAATTTGAGTCTAGTTTGCAACAATTCTAGGATGCATCACACTGATAGATGTCTTTGAATTCTTGGCACTTAATTGGACATTTTTTATTTGATAAAAGTATTTTATGAGAAATTTTTTAAATTAAACATTGAAAAGATTCAATTGTAGATGTTATGGTTATTATTTATCAGAAAATAATCAATGGATTAATTGAATAATCAAAAAAAAAAGAATCAATATATTAATCGATTATCAAAATATTGTTAGTTGCTGCCCTAAAAAAAAATCCCTGTCGCTTCCTGAACTCTTTTTACAATCAATAAACGTGACTAAACTAAAATACAAAAAAATAAATATACTGAAGAAATTTTAGAAAGAGATAAAAAACGATATAAATACTGTTCGTTTTCTCACACAAACCGCTCGTTTCGTGTCTTAGGCCATCAATGTGTACTTGCATTTACGAGTCATTAAATCATGTTTAATTTGGACTTCTCTGAGCATGCTCTTTGAAGTGGTGACCATAGACCTCCATTATATGACTGACAGACAAGAACGGTTTGACCTAAAAATATCAAAATTGAAACTACTGCGGAAACAGACACTTACATCTTGGATGCCCTTGAGGAAAGCTAAAACATACCAAACATTAATTTCAAAGTGAACTATCCCTTTAAAAAGCTATAAATCTATTTTAATTCCCATAAGTGGAGCACTTCTGCCACTTAGACAAAAATGTGTCAATTAGTAAAATACGCAAATGTATTATACAAAAACTTAAGCAAGCAAACATGGAGGATGTTATTTATCTCCCACGCTGCAACAGACTGTAAATCTACAGAGGAGGAGGATGAGAGAAAAAGATGAAAGAAAACAGACTTAAAGAGGAATGGATGAAAGGGAGGTAAGGGGCTCAGGGGGACACATGAAAGCCAGAATCCTGTGGCGCTTAAGTAGCGCTTAATTCAAGAAGGGCCTGAAACCACCCCTGAACACACATATTGAACCAGGCAGGTGTACAAATTACACACATCCATAAATCGCAGGTGCAAAAAGAGGCATACCGTAAATATCCCTCCGAGTTAAGTGTGTGTAATGTATGCGATAAATCAATTGGTTTGTTTTTGATGCTTTTCTGCTTAAATCTGCTAATAAAAAGTAGGGGAAAAAGGATTTACAATAATGAGTGAGCAATACAACACTTACTCTCGCTCCTTCTCTGTCAGTTTGTCGGTGATAGTGTCTTTGATGGTGGATCGGGAACCCTTGTGGATGACTGGATACCTGAGCGGAATCTGCAGGAAGAACGACATCATCAGCACCAGGTGTGCCGTGTAACCCAGAGCCACTGCAATACTCCCATCATCCTTTGCTGCAGTGGAAAACACAGAAAAACATACGTAAATTTGAAAGAATGTAAAATGAGGTGCAAATCAAACACAAAGATGAGAGTAACCGAGTGAAGCTCATAAAATAAGCTCCCGATCAGTCATATTTAACCAGAATTAAAGATCATTCAGATTTTTCTGCATTGTGACATTTCCCACTCACATGCCTCTGCATTACAAATTCATTTTTATTATAGCTTTTATATATAATAAAATATTATAAAATTTACTATACAGCAAACAATTTCAATTCTGAATATTAAACAAAATATTGTAATACATTGGTGTGTTGCAATAGTGTCTAATAATTAATATTATAAAATTTAGATTTTTTTTTTTTTATAAGAGACCATTAAATGTCACAATGCAAAAAAAATATTAGCACTCCAAAAATGGTTCTTTATTCTTTTAATAGCGTGCTGCAACCTTCATTTCAGTTGAGGTCAAAAGTTGTACACTCTGGTTTAAAGGATGAGTCACCGCATTTGAAGTTAATTCACTCCAATCCAAATCAGAGGCCATTTGTTAAGTTGATGGAAGCTGATGAAGGCCATTCATTTTGTCTCCTTAGGGCCCTTGAGTTATAGGGAGCCGCATAATAACCTAATACCCTGCAAAAGTTCAGTTCACCTCAGCGATGCCCTTTCCTGATGGGGTCAAAGGCATCACCAGAGGCTAAAAGCTCTGAACACAAGGATCGGCTTAATGTTAGTGTTCTGTCTATAAAAGTGTATAATCACACTCCAACGTGTGCATTTCCTAAATAATTATATGCAATCTAAATCACTCTGATGGCCCCATTTCAGTCTGAGCAGCAACCTTTTGGGGCATTTCTAGCATATTCAAATAAAAAGCCCGAATGCCAAGCAAAAAATATTAAGTTGCTAAGCAACTGAAAGGACAACAGGTCAACTAGTAATTACGTGTTATGAAAAAACTGCAAAAGGCTTTCTTTTCTAACACGCACACTTCTGCTTTATCATAAACATGCATCCAAACTACATTTCCCAGAACACCCATTAAACTACACATGCTCCGTTGTACTCACTACATTTCAGCTTACAGAAAGTTTCCAGGCTAGAACAGCCACGCATTTGCAGATGAAAACAACGCGCTGTGGACACAGACCACACTGTAAAAAAATATTGTTGGTTTAACTTAAAAAATTAAGTAACCTGGTTGCCTTCAAATTTTAAGTTGATTGAACTGGAAAAAGTGAGGTAATACAATGAAGGAGATTGATTTAATCATCAGAAACTCAAAATAATAAGTTATCTGAACTAAATAAATTATTTAAGTTGATTTGACAAAAGAAAAAATGTTGTGATAACAGTGATCACTTATGGAAACACTGTAAACCCTAACACTCAAAATAATTAACTAGTTTGAGTAGGACAAACTTAAATTAGTTCAGTCAAATGAACTTTTTTGAGTATTTAGCGCACTCTTTTTCTTTCAAGTTCACAGAACTGACATATTTTAAGTAAACGGAACTGTTTCATTGTTTTGAGTTTTATGAAATTATTTATTTTAATTTAGACGAACGCAAGTTTAACTGAAATGGTTCGGATGTCAATTTCCCAGCATGCTTTGAAAGGGAGAGTAAATACTAAAATTAAGTGTATTGTTGTTTTTTTGTGCAAGATTAATGTTAAGTGGGAGATTTAGTAGCGATTAATGTTTTGTCATGCTAATTTAGAAGAATTTCTGTTAATGTTGGTTTTAGGATAGTTACCATCATGGTGACGTGTGCATGCAGTGGATTTGAGAGCAAATACAGCCTTTCATACAGGAACTATTACTAACAAGTTAACAAATTAGTATGTAAGCAAACTAGCTAGTTAAAGCTAACTAGGTTTATACTAATAAAAGTGTTCTCATTGAGATTACATCAGTTAAATGTATGAACTAGTGCACTCAAACATTTCAAGTTAAGTACAATTAAATAAAATCTGCCAGTTCTGCTTACTTAAACTTTTAATTTCTTAACTTTAAAAGACTGAGGCAACTGATTGCCTTAATTATTTTGAGTTTTGCCAACTTATACAGGTTTACAGTGTGTGGGAGACTTATACTGAATAAGAAATAAGTTGTAGGCTATATGCATATGAGTTGCTTTCAAAATGCATGAATGAGAAAACATATGTGAAGGACTGCATGTGCATGTATGTGAATATGCGTTTTGTTGCGTGCGCGGTTCAACCTGGCTTCCATTAACCTCTGTTCTTTTGAAGTCATGCCTCCCTTGCCTGAAAAAAGCCAAACCTGATTCTCTGCGACACATACAGTGCTGCCTAAAGGACACATGGGAAATGAGATGAATAACTCTCCCCACAGCCAGCACAACAAAGGACATCACTTGTACCCATCAAACACAATTCATCCTCCTTATTAAAACCCCCCAAATGCCTAACTATAGGCAACTGGGAGATGAATGCTCTAATAAAATCCTATTCTCTCACATAATGCGAGAAGTCAGAAGGTCCGACCACGGTTCTCGCTGTGTGAATAACTGACTCGAGTGAGCTCACGCTTAACCACAAGTTGAAGGCTTCCATGGACACAGGGCTTCATTGATCAGAACAGAGGAGGATGATTGATTGATGGCCTGGAGCCTGTGATCCACAGCCAGACTGAAGAAACCCAGAAATCGAGAGAATTGCAGCCAGTCAAGCAGAACTGACTGGGGATTCAAGAGCTCCTTGCCAGATGAGTGTCGAATCGCTGTATCTGATTGTGAACTGATTTAAATCAGCGAGTGACAGTGCAAAGAAATCAAATATTTCGGACTTTTTTAATGCATGATATACAATCTAATGACATCAAATGAGACATTTAAACCCCCCAAATTCATGGAAAGTTTCTCGAAATTCACTCAAAAGCCACAGAAATTACAGATTGGAAATTAATTGACCAAGCGGGGACAATCATAATTTCAAAATAGCCAAATGTAAACTGATTAATCAGCTTGGCTCAGTTTCCTCCGATGTAAGGGTGTGTTCACACTTGGCAGGTTTGGTTCGTTTAAAACGAATCCTGGTGCGAATGCTCCTTTAGTGCGGTTCATTTGAATATGTGTGAACACTGAACTGACAAAAAGCGAACCGAGACCCCTGAAAAGATGGGTCCCAGTCCACTTCCGAACGAACTGTGGTGCGGTTAGACTGAAATATGAACTTAACGCAGACCAAAGATATCAAAATGAACCAAAAACAGACTGTAATGTCACAAGATGCAACCCTAAAAAGGCTTTTCTAGTTTGCATCTTTAGGTTTGATGTTAAAGGGATACTTTTTTTGGAAATAGGCTCATTTTACAACTCCCTCAGAGTTAAACAGTTGAGTTTTACCATTTTCGAATCCATCCAGCCAATGACTTTCAATGGGACCAGAAACTGTCTGGTTACTGATATTCTTCTAAATATCAGAAAATCGGCCGAATGGATTCGAAAACGGTAAAACTCAACTGTTTAACTCTGAGGGAGTTGTAAAATGAGCCTATTTCCAAAAAAATAAAAAAATAAAAAAATGGAGTATCCCTTTAAGAATGGCAGTGTGAATTTAAGTGAACCATTATTTTCTTTTTCAATCCAGACTGAGAGAACTAAGTGAACCGAACAAGTGTGCACACAATTCTGAGCTCATTTTATCATCTGACAAGCACAAATGCCAAGTATAAATGCTTGGAAATATAAAACCACAAAAAAAGTCCTAAAAACCGTTGCATGATTTGACACTTCATTCATGTCCACAGCACAACTTATTGAAGTTTCCTAATTAACGTTAGGGATTTAGTAACATTATTCAAAATTCACTCAATATATTTGAAAAAGGAAAAATTGAGCTTTGTCGAGCTGTTTGAAGATTTTTTTGACTAAAAAATATAAAATAAGAAATATTGCCCAATTAATTGGTCAATTGGTAAATCAGTCAGTCACAACTCGGGATGTTTCTCAGGTATATATTTAATTGCCAAATCAAAACTTACCTTGAAAGTCTTCAGAATTGGGCAGTTTAACACCACAAATCACATAATCGTTCTGATTGTTCTGCAAACAGAAAAAGAAAACAGCAGAAAAGCAGTTGTGAGCGCAGCATGAGCAGCCGATAAATCAGATCCTTCATACACTGACTGAAAAGGCTTGGCAGAGGATAGTTTGGTCTGAATGTGGTTTTCTGCTCATTTTCAGTGGCTTTATTTTGTAAACTGATTTGACTGGCAGCGGGACTGTGGGTACCAGGCAGCGAACACACTGAACAGTAGTTCTAGGTCATCCTGAAATGGTGAGAAACCAAAACTTTTTGAAAGCCAGTAACAGAAAGCCAGTCCGCAAAGACCCAGACCTCTAATATTCCCAGCATGCCACACGCTCCAGCTATCAGCACGACATGAGAAAGACAGGAAGCCGCATTATGAGTGTTTTTGTTGAGTGTGACATTGTTTGTGTGTGGAGTTAAACACTCACCACATCAATGGGATAAATGTAGGAAAGCTCTGATATGAGCTGACGACAGCGGAAGGTCAGCTGGGCGTTAGACTTCAGAAACAGCTCTCTGTTGAGGAACAAACACAGAACTTCAAGATCTTTCACCCAATCATTTAAACTAAGAGTAAACAGACACATATTATTTGTATTTCTAGCAGTAAAATAATATAATAGTAATAAATTATGAATCTTTATTCTGATTTACTCATATTATTATACAATACATCATATTTATTTATTTTTCTACATTGATATTATTTCATACATTATTATTAGTTATATTATTACTATAATAAGAATAATAAGAATAAAATAATGTCAATATATAAATAAAAATAAATATAAATGCGCGATTAATCGCATCCAAAATAAAAGTTTGTGTTTACATAATATATTTGGGTGCACTGTGTATAATTATTTTATATATATATATATATAATTATACACAGTGCACATATATTATGTAAACACAAACTTTTATTTTGGATGCGATTAATCGCGCATTTATATTCATATAGATCTAAATAATACACACACATGCATGTATATTTAAGAAAAAAATATTATTTATTAGGGCTGTCAAACGATTAATCGCAATTAATTGCATCCAAAATAAAAGTTTGTGTTTACATAATATATGTGGGTGCACTGTGTATAATTATTATATATATATATATATATATATATATATATACACACACACATCCATGTATATTTAAGAAACAAATATTATTTATATATAAAATATTTATACATAATATAAATTATATATAAATCTATATACAGTATATCCATGAAAATATTTCTTAAATATATATAAGCATGTGTGTGTATTTATATATAAAAAATAATTATACACAGTGCACCCACATATATTATGTAAACACAAAAATTTTTATCATTTGGCAGCCCTAATAAATATAAATAATAGTAATAATAATAATTGTTGCTGCTGTTATTCCATTATATCAAATCAATACATATGTACATAATATACTAGGACAAATGTGTGTTCATACATCCACTAAAACAAACAAATGTCGGACCATTTGGTTAAAAGTTACTGGAAAAAATGGCAACAACAAAAAAAATCCAAGCTTTAATGACATTTGTGTGCCGATGTAACTTGGTTTGATATTTACAATTAGCCTATCAAAGTATTTTAAGTATGATTTTAGTGTCAAAAGTTCCTCAATGACAGAGACGAAAGAGAAAAAGAACAAGAAGAGGAAAGAGAAGAATTAATTGCAATGTTTATATTGGCTTCAGGAAGTTCACTTCGCTAATGATGCTCTGAATCATCTCTCTAGTAATAGTAAGAGCTACTCAATTATCATAACTGCCAAATTACAATGAACTTCCTCCACTCTGACTGGTTAACAACCAACCCCAATCAGAACACATCTGTCAAGAAAGGGACACGCCATTGCCTCAGGACGGGCACAGCTAAACCAAGACCTGTCTAGGTGAGGTGCAAGGGGTTGAAAAATGTTTACTTTTCATGTCCAGCTTTCTGCTACTGATCCTATGACTTGAGGAGAAAGATGAAGAGTAATGGTAGAGGATAATGTGGTATTCATTCACAGTCATGAGGAGGAGGCAGGAAGGAAATAATGATTAGGTATGAAGGACATGCCTTCCTTACTGGACTATAGCTTCCATGTGGGTCCACCAGGCCTGCTCTACACCACCCAAAATCTGGTCAAAACAACCACTGTTAAACTGTGAACAGAACTTGAAATGGGTATCCGATGTGCCACAAAAAGCATGCGGTGTGAATCAACACCATAGGTGACAGTGGTAAGAGACCCAAACTCCATAGGGTGACAGAAATGGAGAAAAAACCTTGGGAGAAACCAGGCTCAGCCAGTTCTCCAATGCTCAAATGAACGAACATGGTGTGATTTATAAACTGTGTTGAAAGATTTGAACTGGATTATATTGAACTGGGGTGGTGATGACGCATACCTTTGGTGTGACCCGGGTTCGAATCCACTGTGAGACACTTAGCAAGAGACTGAACCCCTAGTTGCTCCTCTGACGTATATAGCAATTGTAAGTCGCTTTGGATTAAAACGTCAGCTAAATGAATAAATGTATATCATTTCATATTTCCGTTTACCCTCTATTGAATGTTGCGATCTAAAAAAAAAAGGCAAAAATACAAAATAACTAGCAATGTTTACGGCATCGTTACGCGAAACCTGACAAGTCCGCTTCAAACACCGCCAGACATACAAATGCATTATTTCATTATTTCAGCCCACTGTGTGTGACCTTTTGGGTCGTGTCAAACCCATTAGGGTTGGCACAACATAATCTGTTTATTGTCACACTATGCAATCTGAGTGGGTGGGAAAACACAAATAAATCCAGCATGCCCTCAGTCTGCTTGAGTTGACCGTATAATCTCCCTAAGCGCTTGGAAAAACCAAAAGAATGGAGGAGCGCCCAGTTCTGCGGCCCATCAGGGTAATGTCTGACAGATGTGAGATCACTGGACTCGAGGGTAGAGAACGAGAAAAGAGAGGGACGGATAATTGCAGGTTGACAATCACTCACCTTTTGGCAGAGCATTCCTTCTGCAACTCCGTCAAAGACTTGCGTTCAGACTCCAGACCCTGGTGCATGGTAGACGACGCCTCCTCTGAGGAGAAGAACACAGACAGGTGGAGAGAATGAAGAGGCAGAATGAGGTGAATGAACAGGTAGTCTCGTGTGTGTTTGTACAGGTGGGTAGGAGTGTCTCATTTTGATAGCAGTCTATTAAATTGTGCTGAGTGTTTCATCATTATAAAAACATTTCCTTTACAGGCAACATAAAACTAATTGAGATTCAAAAAATGCTTGTAGGGTTTTTCTTTTCTTTTTTTTTTTAGATAAATATAACTGCTCAGAATTATAATAAAAAGACGAGACCGTATAATCAAAAACACTCCCAACATGACATTTGGATAATGATTCCTGGGAGCAGGATAAGACGAGCTTAGATTACAGAACGTCTGACAGGTTGTAATGATGAAATCCTGCAATTTCACAATCTGAAATACTTCCTGTGTTGAACTTGAGCACATTTCTGGATGTTCCTTTGAGAACTATGACTTTGTGAACTTTAAGTAAACTATCAATTTAAAAGAAAAAAATATACACTCACCTAAAGGATTATTAGGAACACCTGTTCAGTTTCTCATTAATGCAATTATCTAATCAACCAATCACATTGCAGTTGCTTCACTGCATTTAGGGGTGTGGTCCTGGTCAAGACAATCTCCTGAACTCCAAACTGAATGTCAGAATGGGAAAGAAATGAGATTTAAGCAATTTTGAGCGTGGCATGGTTGTTGGTGCCAGACGGGCCGGTCTGAGTATTTCACAATCTGCTCACTTACTGGGATTTTGATACACAACCATTTCTAGGGTTTACAAAGAATGGTGTGAAAAGGGAAAAACATCCAGTATGCGGCAGTCCTGTGGGCGAAAATGGCTTGTTGATGCCAGAGGTCAGAGGAGAATGGGCCGACTGATTCAAGCTGATAGAAGAGCAACTTTGACTGAAATAACCACTCGTTACAACCGAGGTATGCAGCAAAGCATTTGTGAAGCCACAACACACACAACCTTGAGGCGGATGGGCTACAACAGCAGAAGACCCCACCGGGTACCACTCATCTCCACTACAAATAGGAAAAAGAGGCTACAATTGGCAAGAGCTCACCAAAATTGGACAGTTGAAGACTGGAAAAATGTTGCCTGGTCTGAGACATTCAGATGGTAGAGTCAGAATTTGGCGTAAACAGAATGAGAACATGGATCCATCATGCCTTGTTACCACTGTGCAGGCTGGTGGTGGTGGTGTAATGGTGTGTGGGATGTTTTCTTGGCACACTTTAGGCCCCTTAGTGCCAATTGGGGATCGTTTAAATGCCACGGCCTACCTGAGCATTGTTTTTGACCATGTCCATCCCTTTATGGCCACCATGTTCCCATCCTCTGATGGCTACTTCCAGCAGGATAATGCACCATGTCACAAAGCTCGAATCATTTCAAATTGGTTTCTTGAACATGTCAATGAGTTGACTGTACTAAAATGGCCCCCACAGTCACCAGATCTCAACCCAATAGAGCATCTTTGGGATGTGGTGGAACGGGAGCTTCGTGCCCTGGATGTGCATCCCACAAATCTCCATCAACTGAAAGATGCTATCCTATCAATATGGGCCGACATTTCTAAAGAATGCTTTCAGCACCTTGTTGAATCAATGCCATGTTCTGTAGAATTAAGGCAGTCCTGAGGGCGAAAGGGGGTCAAAAACAGTATTAGTATGGTGTTCTTAATAATCCTTTAGTTGAATGTATATATTCTATTCACTTGATTTTTCTATTTCATCTCAATCATGGTACACTAATCAAAAAAATTAAAACATTATTGGGAGCAAAATTATTGGCTGTGGTGGAAACAATTCCATAACTGAGGTAAATTTGTGTACAAATTGGTAGAAATAATTTTCACAAAAAATTTAAAAGGTTTCTGTTCACTTCAAATTAATTTAAAATGTTACATTTAAAATCACTTTTTTGCATTATTTGGCATATTTTAAGATTGAATGCCTGGGTCTGGTATATATAAAAAATAAAAATAAAAACATAATGTGACCTAAATATAATGAAAAGGAAAATGATAATCTGTTAGTTCTGGCACATAAAAGTACCCAAAGTTTTTTTTTATTACTTTTACACACCCTGAGGTAAAACCTGAGCTATTACTATTATGCACAACAGAGCTAAAACAATTGTATGCATATTAAAACCCCTAAATTTCAAATGTACAAAATAATATTGTCTCTAACTGACGCTCTGTGCAGAACTCCAGTATGTTTGCGTACATTCAAGGAAAACAGAACAGTAAATCTCAATCTGATTTGCTGGAAAGACACCGTGCCCAGATTTACTGGATCTAAGGGTTTTGCTGATGGTGTTCAAAAGACATTTTCCAACCCGGCCTGCATGGCCACACCACCCCCATGTCATGAAATGTCATCAAAGCATCTGCCAGGAGTGAGTGTGTGTGTGTGTGTGTGTGTGTGTTTGCGTGCGCAAGTATGAGTTACTGTGGAATGCAAGTGTCAGCCCCACTTCTTTGCAATGCTTTTGTGGTTCATTATTTCAGACACAATATTCACAGAAGAGGGAAAATGGAGATCGAGACAGAAAGCAAGAGAGCTCAATGAGTGAGAATTGAAGAGAGGATGAGTTTTTAAATTATCTCTATAGATGGATGAAACATATAAGACCAAATCATATACAGTACATACATACATATACTGTATATAAATATACATGAATAGTATTCAAAAGTTTGGGATCAGAAAGATTAATACTTTTCAGAAAGGACGCATTAAATTAATCAAAAGTGATTGTAAGGACATTTACGATGTTTCAAAAGATTTCTGTTTCAAATAAGTGATGTCCTTTTGAAATTTATATTCAGCAAAGAGTGGTTTCCACATATATTAAAAATATATAAAAAAAAATATATTAAATATAATATATATAAATATATATTAAAATATATTTAAAAAAATATATAAATATATATATGTAAAAATTAGGGCTGTGCAAAAATTAATTGTGATTAATCGTATCCAAAATAAAAGTCTGTGTTTACATAATATATTTGTGTGTGCTGTATATAATTATTTTGTATATATAAATACCTATGCATGCATGTATATATTTATGAATTATTTGTGCTTAAATTCTGTATATATATATATATATATAAATACAAAATCTATATTATATAAATATAAATATTTTATATATGAATAACACATTTTCTTAAATATATACATGCATGTGTGTGTATTTATATATACAAAATAATTATATACAGCACACACAAATATATCATGTAAACACAGACTTTTATTTTGGATGCGATTAATTGCAATTAATTTTTGCACAGCCCTAATAAAGATATGAAGCACTACAACTGTTTTCAATGTTATTAATAAGACATGTTTCACGAAAAATGAAAATGTAAAACAAAACTGACATTGTATGGAAGAAACCTGCATGAAAAAAAAAAAAAAAAAACTATTTTTCCACAGAAGAAAGTCACAGGGGATCGGAATGTCATAAGGGAGAGTAAGTGAAGAAGATATTTATTTTTGGGTGAACTATTCCTTTAAAGAGTTGATTCTTGTCTTTTCTTTTCCACTTCACTTACATAAAATGAGAAGATGAGAGTGGAAAGAGAAAATCAAAGCAGACTGTCTGGTTAAAAAAAAAATTTTTAAAAAAATGCACAACTCTTTTGTTCTGACCCGCACTTGTAAAAACAGAGAGTGTCTGCTTTATAATATGCCTCACATTCTCTTCTCTTTTACAGCTCTGTGGGATCTTTCTGTCCTAAAGCAATACATGGCGGGACATCCCGGGCCCTGGTGCTGTCTTTCTGAAGACATTAGAGGTGTGAACCTGGGAAATTGAAAGAGAGATCATTGTCGCTGGAGCAAAACGGTCCCACATGCAAAGCCTTGAACCTCTCACTAGGATACGACGGCAGGAAAAAGAAAAAGAGCCAGAGGCAGAGAAAAAGACTGAGAGGTCTAAATGCTTTTGTTCTCTTTAAATGATCCCCTATGACACACTCTGCTTTAGTAATGCCGCCTCTCTCGACCATCAGAGTTGTCAGCACCAGGTTAAGGCCTCCTATTGGCCGCCCACACCTTTCCTAAAGACTACTGGCAGGAAGTCATCTGCGTTTGCTCGGGAGAAAGAAGAGGTTAAAGGAATAGTTCACCCAGTAATATAAATTCTGTCATTATCATCTCACCCTCATTCCTGCTGTGGAACCTGTGAAGACATTCTGATGTACATTTTAGTTGTTTTTATCCCTACAATGTTAACCTTGGAGTTGACCCAAAAAAAAAAAAATCTGAACAAAGCAAAGTTTCCATTAGATCTCTTCAATAGAACAAAATCGTCACTTCCTGGGAAATTGTCGTAAAAAATCTGTAAGAAAAATGGAAGTTTTTGTAAATCCCAAATTACTTGCACGCAGGCAAAATTCAATAAACACTGTTATGTTATCTTGTGTTCAGGCATTTCAGAATGTTTTTGTTGTGCATCGAGGGATTTATTAAATGTGTTTCCATCGCAGTCTATGTGCATGTCTTCCAAATGGGATAAAAAAAAGGATCTGCCTCAATTCAGTGTATTTTGCAATACCCCAAAATTTACATACAAATTGGTGGAAGGACTTCCATCGTAAGTAAAAAACAATTCACTGACATTGTCACACTATATTTTATGTTCCACAGACACAGTTAATCTTGGTAATGAAGATTACAGATGGAATTATCCATTGACTTTTTTTTTTTTTTGATGCCAATGATAGAGACATCGTGGCATTGGCAATAACTGCTATGAAAGCTAAACCACAGGAAACATGGTGAAGCCAGCGAGTGTTTCGTGTTTCTAATGCCCTAATCAAAAGGACTAGTAAAAGTGTCCACTCACTCTGTACAACTTTTTGTTCTGTAGTACCTCAGCATCTGACGTTTACAGGCCCACGGTCCAGAGCACAACTACCGATCATAACAACGTCAAATGGCTTTTATGAGCATAATTTACAACATGTGCACGGACGTGATGAGAAATTAGAGCGAGGGAAACGGTGACAGGAGGCTTGACCCAGCAAAGCTTTATTCTTCAATGGAAACGAGGAAGCGCTCAGTGACCAGAACCGCCGGGGGAGAGCGAGAGTGCATGACTGCAGCTCTGTACATTAAACAGAGATGAGACGTGGTTACACTTAAGTCATTTTGTGCAATTTCTGGCAATCTCCCTTTGTAAGTGGGATAAACTACGGTAGTTTTGGAAGGTGGCTTTCATGCTGCTTCACGGAGTGCCGGCCCGGTTAGTATCACAGCAAATAAGCGCTGACTGACAATAGCTTAAAGGACCATTAGCGTTTAAATGAAATTTAGGTGTGGGGGATTTGTTAGCGGGAATGGGAAAGGCAGGAATTAACAGAGAAGGACATGACGGGAACGAAAAAAAGTTGGAATCTGTAGTTTCTCATCTCTCTCCCATAAGAGAGCGCTTTCCTCCCTTTTCCTTACTACTAATAACCCTTTGAACATCTTTTACTAAAAAGACGTTCACAAAAAATCTAAAACATTATATATTATTATATTATTATAAAATGCATAAGATATCATTTCAAAAACATGTCCAGGTGGCATGGTTTGCAAATATATACAATATTTAATTTGCAATGCAACATTAAGGTCATCCAAGTGTTACTAAAATTAAAACTCTTAAAAGTAAATTTCAGTAATTTAAATGAAATTAAATATAAATATTAGATGAAAAATGTAAACTTAAAAAAAATTAGAAATGTTGCCTTGGCAACTACCTGAAATAAGTAAGTTTAAGCTACAGCACTAAATTACTAAAACTAAAACCAAAATTAACAATAAATTAAGATATGTATCATGTATACACATGTATATTAAAAATGAAGAATAAAAAGGTAAAAGCACATAATTACTAAAACTCGCAAAAAAATCTAAATATTAATAAATTCTATAAATTATACTATAATAGTTTTAAAAAATAACACTAGGTAAGATGCAGAATTTTTTGTTCTGTAAATTTAGAAAGAAATTTAGAAATTTAGAAAGACATTTAGAAATTTAGAAAGAAAGAAAGAAATTTAGAAAGAAAGAAATTTAAAAATAGAAAGAAATAAAGAAATTTAGAAAGAAATTTAGAAAGAAAGAAATTTAGAAAGAAATTTAGAAAATTAGAACGAAAGAAAGAAATTTAGAAATAAAGAAATTTAGAACGAAAGACATTTAGAAAGAAAGAAATTTAGAAAGAAAGACATTTAGAAAACAATTTAGAACGAAAGACATTTAGAAAGAAAGACATTTAGAAAGAAAGAAATGTAGAAATTTAAAAATTTAGAAAGAAAGAAAGAAAGAAAGAAAGAAAGAAAGAAAGAAAGAAAGAAAGAAAGAAAGAAAGAAAGAAAGAAAGAAAGAAAGAAAGAAAGAAAGAAAGAAAGAAAGACCAATAAATCAATGAATGAATGAGGCAGGCCAAGCAGTGTGCCATTATCCTTTCCTCTTACTCTAGTTCAAATAAATGTTTTATTCAGCTCTTAAAAGTATTCTCCAATGCATGAATGTGAATGGGCCGCTCCCTTCGGCTCCAGTCAGGACAGGCTCCTCTTGGCAGAGGCTGTTGGGTAGACGTCATCCATCTAGAACAGACCTTTCCCTGAACCTCAAATCCGTTGTTTGCTTCTACACACTAGGAGGTCATGAACACAATGCATTATGGGATGGCAAGTGCCAGCCCACTCAATCATTACGGTTGTGCAAGTGTGCGTATATGTATTCTTTATGAACCCACAGTATGCAGCCCAACCCTCTAGCCAAACACCAGCCACCACATCAATCAAAACACACCTCTTCGCACCTCCCGTCCCATGCACAACATTTGCCAAATAAAAAGAGCAGGATTCAGAAATCAAACATGAATGGCAGGAGGCTGTGACGAATGGGGCGGTGAGGAACTTAAGCTTTGAATAAACTCTGAATGTTCAATGTCCGCCTGCACAGTCTGGATCTTTGATGGAAGCAGTGTAAAGTAACATAAAAGAATAATGAGATCACTAACTCACAACAAACAGGGGTGGCGGTGGTCTTGACAGGCCAAAACAGCACAAGTGCCCTTTTCCGACAAGAGGATCTGCCATTATAATAACTGGACAAACTGCTCGAATCAGGCATGTACATCATGGTAATTTAAACAAAAAATTGCCCAAATCAGTGACGACGAGAAATGTACAATGCAACAATGCACGTCCTTTGATTGGGTAGCATGAGACACATTCAAATCGAAAGAGTTCTGAAAGAGAAATTCCAATAGTTCCAAAATGGAATTTCCAACTTCTTAAAGAAGTGCAAAGGAATCACAACTTTAAGTTGGATTGTGCCAGATGAATGTGGCAAAAACAGAGCGAACTACACAATTAATGGTGAACAACAACCCCATTCAAGCAAATTATTAGGGTTGGGTATCGAGAATCGATTGGAACCGGGACTAACTTTTCGTTTTTCCCGGATTCGTTCAAAAGTTAAAATTTCGATTCCTAGTTTCGATATTCACAGTCCGCCGAGCGGAAGAAGAAACCGCTGAACAACACCAACGAAGAAGCGTCTACCGGAAGTGTTGGCATAACCGCGCGAGTCGAACATGAGTAGCTTACGTCGGCGGTCCAAAGTGTGGCTTCACTTTTCTAAAAATAACGAAATCTCGGCAAAATGCAAACTTGTGACAAGTATTTGTGACAGTAGGAGTATTTCCTTCAGCAAGACCGTTGGTTAGCAAGGTTAGCTAAACTTTTTTGACCCTGCCTCTTAAAAGAATCGGAATTGAGAATCGTTAGGAACCGGAATCGAAACAAGGAATCGGAATCGGAATCAGAATCGTTCAAATTCAAACGATACCCAACCCTACAAATTATTGAATCCAAATTCCTAAATAAGATGATTACAAGATCATAAAATGTGTTTAGGAAACATCTGCTGAGATAGGTGTGTAAAACAAGATCTGTGTTGATATTCACTTACCTTTTTTGGTCGGAAGGTGCAGATATCAAGTAACAAGAATCGAATGCATCACTACATGTCAAATGTGTTCTTATTGGCTGCAATTTTGTTGTTTTCTTTACTTTAAGTGAGGACAGGAAAATTACTTTTTTGTATAAAGGCTGTTTAGACGTAAAACAACTGCCTTGCTCAATTCAAGGCACGGAAATATATTTACATGAGAATGTGGAGCCGCCGTTTTAGATCTGGAAATACATTTTAGCAGATGGAACTCTATACGGTCCCCCAAAGTACTGGAACACGCATGAAGTTGAGTTACATCAGTGAAAAACAAGATGAAGAGTTTCACAACACATTCAGTCTGACACACACTTTTGGAGGAGAATGCTGCCTGATTGCAGATGTGTGGGAATAGTATAGAGGAAAAAAGAATACATTTTCAATACATATGGTGATGCGTTTTTTGACCAAAAAGGGACAGATCTCTTATCAGTGAATTTTGTTACCTTTCTTTACAAGCTGTGCTCTCTCTTTCTGCATCAAGTCCATTTCTCTTGTCAACGCCTTCCTCTGTCTCTCCAACTCACACCTCAGAATCCCGATATGTAGCTGCATACACTCCCTCTCTTTCTTCTGCGGAAAGAAACAACAATAAGTATAAAAACTTTTCCGTTTTCCTCACCATGATGAACATCATTGCGTATGCACTTAAAGATTAGGGTCAATTTATTTTTTTTAAGAAATTGCTTTTATTCAGCAAGGATGCATTAAATAGTGAGAGTAAAACATTTGTTCAGTTATAAAAGATAATATTTCAAATAAATGCTGGGGTTTTTTTTGCATTTACATTTAGTCATTTAGCAGACGCTTTTATCCAAAGTGACTTACATCTGAGGACTAAATCAAACAAGTCATTGTGACTTTCTATTCTTAAAGTATCGTGTTAAAAAGTTACAGTTTCCACAAAAATATTAAGCAGCACATCCACTAAAACAACTATTTTAAAGCATAATCATTTCATCACAGTATTACTGTTTTTTTGATCAAATAAATGCAAGAGACTTTTTTTTCAATAACAATGTATATATTTTGCACTAAACTGTAAAACACATTGGAAAGCAAGCGCAAGCCAGAAACATTCACATGAATGCAATAAAACAGTAAGATATGATTTTTTAAGCAGATTACAGCAGACATCAGTGCCGGATCTTCCCTCAGATTCTCCAGCACCACAGCAGATCTATCTAATCTACATCTACAGCCCTGCGGCTTTCGGGACTGTTAGCGAGCCAAGCGCACTAATGAGGAACAGTGATCTGACGAGGGTGAAAGTGGGATAGAGAGTAGATAGGAGAAGAAAGAGAGCGAAGGAGAAGAGATAACAAGCAGAGAAAGTTCACTATGTCTTTAAAGTGATCGGTGGTGGTGATCCCGATCATAACCAGAACTGCTGAGTTTAATGCAGAGCAGGATGGAGAAGCATCTCTAATGTGGCCTCCAGTGTCCATTAGAGACATATTCAGAATAAACAATAAACACATTCATCATGAATGCGATTACAAACCTTACAGAATGGACATAGATGTGATGTCTCTATAAACAGAGATGGAAGAAACCACCATGAATCCACCCTACAGGGTGTTGGGGAAACTGAGTGGAAGTCATATAGCAATGAAATCTGTAGGATCTACTGTAGGCAACACCTCAGGATCTCGTATCCTTGCACTTGGCAGCTGAGGAAGTGTCAATCACAGAGATATAGAAGACATCACCTCAACCTTCAGATAGCTTGAGCCCTTATACGGCGAGAAAAGACCAAGAGCTTGCGTGTTCACTATCAACGTCACTGGCACGACAAAATATGATGTTTCACACACAGCTAAACGCTTCAAAAATGCGCACATGCACGCATTTTCCTGAAAAAAAAAAAACAAAAAAAAAGTAGGGATACATACTGTATATTGACACTGATACTTATAAGTTAATATTTATTTTCACATAGTTTGATATAAAATTGTTATACTAGTTTGTGTATAATAATAATATGAATAATAAAGTAATATTAACAATAAATAGTTGAATTTAGCCATCCCAACATTATAATTGAAACCATAAATGACTCATTTTATACATAAAATAAAATAAAAAAGTTTTGAAATTTAAGATTACATTTAATGTTATTCAATTAATACGTTTTTAACTAAAGTGACATCACGTGAGATCAAAGGTCATCTACACGTAAAAATAGGCAGAATTGAACATGCTCAGTTAATCCTATAGTGGTCAAAATATTAACTGTTAAATAATAACATAAATAAAAATCATAAAAAAAAATAAAAGTAAAAAATAAAACTAATAAATATAGAAACAACAAACATCAGCTAAGTACATTTAAAAGTAATAAGTAAATAAGCATGTAAATAAGTAAAATATAAGTAATAAATAAAAAATAGCTCTAAAAAAACATTTGATTGAACAAAAGTCTGTCAAATCAAAAACTTGAAAATTTGTACACTAGCATATAAATTAGCTTTAAAGCAAAACACACATAGACCTTTAAGGCATGTACCCACACAAAAATCACATTCTGCTTTAATAGCCAGTAATAAGAAAGCTCTGAATAATTCAATTAGCGTAGCAATAACCGGTACAGTGTAGCGAGCGTGCGTGGGCTGATTGATTGCTTGAAGTGCCCTAATAGGCTCCAAACTGACCTGAGGCCAGTGAGAAGTGACAACTCTGCTGTTCCAGAGGTGAACGCTCTGATCTGTAATCAGGTTCACATATCCTCAAGCCTGAAGGAAAACTCAAAACAGACTTTTGCTCATTAAGCCCCGTAACCGATACACGTTTGCAGGAATTTCAGAGCCTCGCTGACCTTTGGTGCGGTCCAGGTAGCGCTCGTGCGATCTAGGGAGAGTGTCAGCTATTAGTGTAAACGTATCCTGAAATTTGACATGTGGAGAACTCCTGAAACTTGCCAATTCGTTTTTTGGAGAGGAAGAGACTTCACAGTCGCTCACGGAGACTTGACGAACCGCTAAGAAAGACGTGTGATAATATTCCCAACATATGTAGGCTTCAGAAGGCTTTTGGAGCCTTTGGATGAGTATTGTGTTGGATATCGTAAGACAAAAACTTACTTGTAATTATTGCATGCCGTATTGTGTTTGCTGTGCTTTCTCGTTTTGGTTCATTATAAACGCTTCATGTTTTGGCAACTTCTTTCCACGTCATGATCATTTCTGGCTGATTTGGATTCAAGCAAGAGTGAGAGGGAAAAAAAGTGAGGTCATGTTCTTTGCTTTGGAACCAAAAACAAAGTTTGAAAACAGAAAATGACAAAACTCCAGGACACTGAGACAGTGGAGATCAAGAGATGGTCCGCTGAACATCTCACCCTCTGAGAAAACAGCATTTCAACAGGTGGAGGGGCCGCCCCATACAAACACTAAGCACTTAAACATCAAAGACAGCAGGAGAGTGTGTTTGTGTGTGTGTGTGTGTGTGTGTGTGTGTGTGTGTGTGTGTGGTAGGGCACTTTGAGTGATGGCATCTTTATGACTCACAAGTGTGTGAGAGGGCAAATGTGACTCAAAGAATATGTATTGCTATATTTCAATGCATTTCTATCCAAGAAACACATTTCAGTTTCATTTAAAGGAAAGGCACATTATGTAAGATTTTTGGATCAATATATCCAAAAAACACTAGAACAATGTTATATATTTTGTTGATTTGTGTACTTGTTAAAAATGTTTCTAAGAATGTTTAAAGGGATACTCCACTTTTTTTGGAAATAGGCTCATTTTAGAACTCCCCCAGAGTTAAACACTTGAGTTTTACCGTTTTCAAATCCATTCAGCCAATTTTCTGATATTTAGAAGAATATCAGTAACCACACAATTTCTAATGGTGGGACCCATTGACTTCTATAGTATCCCATATCCAACATGACACCATGACTTTTGCATAAACATACATGTGGCGTGTTATCTTTACACATTTTGAGCTATCCGCGTGTATGAGTGTATGTCTACGCCGTTAAATTTCCGAGTGAAACGAAGCAAAATGTAGATCTACATCTGGGGAGCGATTTTTTTTTCCTAGGATGGTAGGGAAAGACTCATAAATGCTATTAACCCCAGTGACGGGTAGATTTAGGGATGGGGTTGGGGTAGGTCATATATTTATATTTACAGTAATAACGTTAAATCAACGGCATTCATAAACGCGCTGAAAAGCGATTATGCGTGTTGATAGCACGCCAAAAATGGAAATACGAATTGGCGTGTCATAGACACACAATTTCATGAGACCAGTCTGCCATATCAGAAAATCGGCTGAATGGATTCGAAAACGGTAAAACTCAACTGTTTAACTCTGGGGGAGTTTTAAAATGAGCCTATTTCCAAAAAAAGTGGAGTATCCCTTTAAATCCAGAGAAATAAGCAGTTTTAACCAGGACACGGACCGTTAATGACATTTACCGTTGATTTCTGATTTATATTATGTGTTTTATTAGACAGGTGATCAACTGTTTTGATATATTCATCGACAGAAAACTAATCATTGTTATACAGCTCAACACAGTTAGTCTTTTTGTTAAAATCTCTTAATCTCTCTTATATTAAATCTCATATTTTCACATAATTTGACAAAATAATTGTGAGAGAGCAAAATCTCAACTTCCCATCTCATATTTTTTTAGAGCCCGACCGATAAAGGATTTTGAAGGCCGATACCGATACAAATATTTTTATTTTATTTTATTTTATTTTTTACTTTATTTTAAAGGATTTTTCAAGTTAAAACACAAAACAAACAATGGCTCGGACTACACACACTCACAGGAGAAAAAAAAAACATTAGTACATTAGTAAAAGGCTGCAGATCAGACTAGGTAATTATTTGTTGGTTTTAAAATCCGATATTCCGATATATCGGCCGTTTTTTTTTTCAGAAACGCGCAACAAAACATTAACAGATTTCCCTAACATTAGTTATTTGTAGTTATTTATGAGTTTTAACTAAAATAATATGATAATTCAATTTAAAGAGAAAATTGTTTCTTTTATTGTCACAACAGAACAGACTGATGATAGTGGCATTAGCTAGCTTTGTGGTTAGCTAGTCTATGATGAGCCATAATTTAGCAATGGATTACGTCATACTGCAAATTGTAAAACATACATTTTCAATATTACAGGCCAAGGAGAGATGATACGTCTCATTGCTATAACTGTCACGCGCTATTAAAGAAATATTTCAGTCACATTGTCAAAAGTTAAAAGGACAGTCAGTCAACTACACTATAACAACGTAACGTAACTATTACTAGCTAATTCCGCTTCACTCTCGGCTTATTTAACAGCAGCAAAACTGGACATGATAGTCAAATTTTGTCATGCTTATTTGAGTTAAGAGAACTGATGCGGATGTTCTTTTAATTGTTATTCAAGCAATGTATGTCTCGTGACTAGGGATGGGTATCGAGAATCGAGTATCGATTGGAACCGGGACTAACTTTTCGTTTTTTCCCGGAATCGTTCAAAAGTTAAAATTTCGATTCCTAGTTTCGATATTCACAGTCCGCCGAGCGGAAGAAGAAACCGCTGAACAACACCAACGAAGAAGCGTCTACCGGAAGTGTTGGCATAACCGCGCGAGTCGAACATGAGTAGCTTACGTCGGCGGTCCAAAGTGTGGCTTCACTTTTCTAAAAATAACGAAATCTCGGCAAAATGCAAAATTTGTGACAAAAGGAGTATTTGTGACAGAAGGAGTATTTCCTTCAGAAAGGATTATTTCCTTCAGAAAGACCGTTGGTTAGCAAGGTTAGCTAAACTTTTTTGACCCTGCCTCTTAAAACAATCGGAATCGAGAATCGTTAGGAACCGGAATCGAAACAAGGAATCGGAATCAGAATCGTTCAAATTCAAACGATACCCAACCCTACTCGTGACCAACTCAACAAGTGTTGCCAACAAGGATGGTGTAGAATGCCCTCTGGTGGACAAACTATACAACTCCAACTCTCATGACATGGTTCAAGCATGTTTCGTCCATTTTTATTTTATATTTGAAATATTCATTTATCGGCAATTATATCTGCCGATATCGATATTTTGGAAAATGCCTAATATCGGCCGATAATTCCGGCCTGCCGATATATCGGTCTGGCTCTAATATTTTTCCATCCCCATGTCCCTCTAGGGGCTCCATAGAATGTGTAATTTCCTTTCCGAACATAGTACTAGGCTTCGAGCACATCCCTACTACCTAGATTACAAAATATGAAGCAAGCGGCGTCTACGAACAAATAACGCCAGACCATTGGTTGGTGCCTATGTAGACAGCAAGTGTGCACTAGATCAGAGTTCTGAAGAGTTTGAGAGAAGGAGAATATATATATATATATATATATATATATATATAGTGTGTGTAAGATTACATTTATTCTGATTGGAAGGTATTTGGGCATTTACAGCGAACTGGGAGAGGAGAGGGGACAGACTTTTGAAGTTTTCATTAACTATAAGCACAACTATAAAACCTTCGTTTTCACAGCTGCTGACTGTCACCTCCAAAAATGCTAAATATGTTTTCCTTTGACTTTTCATTCAGTGAGTGTGGAAACACAAAGAGAGGATTTTCTGGTAACAAGGGCACGGTGATACTTAGAGAAGGGATAAAGCTGTGGGATTCGGGATCTCTAAATCCACCAAAACACAGGATACAAGAGCCGCCGGAGGACCTAATGACATATTTATGAGGATCTGTGTAACACAAGATACACAACTCTGAGGCCATTTACCACACTGCTGCTGTTTGTGTTGAGTGACTGGGTACCCTGACTTCCTGTCTGAAACTGAGGGTACTAGCACCAGCATACTCTCATTCTCACCTGTAAAAATAACACCGCAACTGCTTGAAATAATCAGCAAATAATAAAGTAGTTGCAATAGTAAAAAAAGAGAGAAAATAAATGATCGATCAACTTATCTATCTACTTAATTCACTTTTCCATGTTGATAAGAGCATTAAAATGAGAGAAAAGATAAAAATGAGATAAAAATTTGCACTTAATCGCGAGTTAACCATGACATTAATCCGATTAATCGCGATTAAATATTTTAATCGTTTGACAGCACTAATATATATTTCTGAGAAAGTAAATGATCGATCTACTTATCTATCTACTTAATTCACTTTTCCATGTTGATAAGAGCATTAAAATGAGAGAAAAGATAAAAAATGACATAAAAATGTGCGATTAATCGCGAGTTAACCATGACATTAATCGCGATTAAATATTTTAATCGTTTGACAGCACTAATATATATTTCTGAGAAAGTAAATGATCGATCTACTTAATTCAGAATGATGGAACATGTTCAGTTCATAAAAATGTAGTAGTAAATGTTGAGTTTAACATTTACTAAAAATAATAAAAAATACAGAATTGCTAATGCAGATGTAAGTTCCCAAAGCTTGTTCTAACAGACTCCTATGCATTTATTTATGTTTGAAGCTTTGTTCATAATTGACAAAATATAATACTGGGGGCACCTTTTAGTTTTTAATGTTTCCCAGTTGTGTTTTCTTTAGGACATTCACTGAAATGCCTGTCTGATACACTGCTAGATATAGCTTATCAAAAGGTGGTTTATACTGCCATCTCTCATGAAAGAGTAATTCTGTGAGCCTGGAAAGACAATATCCCCACTACAGAGTGAAGTATTGAATTTGAAATTGAGTTTGACAATACGCTATAAAATTCTGTCAAGCATACAGCAACTGTAAATTTAGCCTTTTATACTTGCAGAGGTGCTTTACAGAGTCTTACCATCAGTACTATGTGTACCAGGTGTAAAGGAAAAGAAAACCCAACAGGCCGGATAGGATTTATGAAGTTAGAGAACATAGAAAGTATACAGAATATAAAAATAATCCTGAATGAATAGAAGCACACAAGCAGACCTAAACAACCCAAGAAATCCCACTGGTTTGATTTGTTGGGTGGGGTCTCACCTTTTCTGTGCATGACGCCGTTGTCCTCAGTTTCTCTTCAATTTCCTTTCCGATCTTCTGAACCGTCACCTGAGTCTGCTTTATGGCTCTCTGGGCTGTGTGAAGCCTGTGGAGGAAACACACACAGGATGCATCACTGTTAGGGTTTGAGAATGTGAAGAAAAAGCCATTCCAAGTACTTGATCCGAATGATTTAATGACATTAATACACACAACATGTTTGATCAGAGCTGTGAACCTAACAAAAATAGTCTACCAAGTCAAAAAAAACAGTGTTCTTTTCCCATCTGCTCTCTGTATAGTTCAAACCACAATCAAACGACTCTTATGATTCTTTTTAATGAAGCAGTCAAGCGAATCAGAATTACACTGATTTCAACATGACATGTGTAGTTAAATATACTCAGTTATTAAAAATAGAACCCACAAAACATATCCAAACTAGTTAATCTGACATGAAATAAACAAAAGAAACACAAAAAATATGCAGATACAGTAATTATATAAACAAACGTTATTTATGAAGCATGTTCAAGCTGCTATCTCATACAATTAAAGTATATTAATCTGCTATACACAAGAAAGTAATTTAGATTTGGAACGACATGAGAGTGAGCAAATGACGACAGGATTTTCATTCATATTACTTTAATTTGAAAAGTTTTGAGCATTTGTATTGTAAAACCGAACTAAAACACAATCAGTGATTGGATCTTGACTCACATAGATGGAATTAGGTCAATCAAATGAAGGATGACAGCGGACACATATAAACACCCGTTCTCATATATAATGGAAACAGAATTGCCGCAGATGATCTCACACGGAGACCGATTTCAGATTTATATTTGCGGTAATTAGAGAACACATAAACTGAAACCTCATGACAGGACCGCTGAACTGAAGGGAGGTCAGGCGCTGTTTTTGTATTGTTTGTTTATTTCCCAAAGGCAATGGGCTTGTTAAGATAAACTTTTATAAATAAAAACAGGTTCGTAAGGAGATTAATAACACCGCAGATGGGTCTCCTCATTTCGCCTGTTTTTGTTTGCACCATGGGCCTAATTTTATGACTCATCTGGTTTTACAACAAAACCAAATGGTTTTAATACCCATTGTTCAATTGCAGTGGTATGGTGAAATTTAATTCACCTGAAGGAAAAAATTCTGTCAAATTGAATTTAAAGGAGTAGTTCACTTTTCAAAAAACTTTTGCTGATAATTTACTCACCCCCATGTCATCCAAGATGTCCACGTCTTTCTTTCTTCAGTCGAAAAGAAATCAATGTTTTTAATGAAAACGTTCCAGGATTTTTCTCCATATAATAGACTTCAATGGGAACCAGACGGTTTAAGTTCCAAAAGAAACTTTCAGAACAAACTGCAAACTTGTTCAAAGGGCTTTAAACGATTCCAGACGATAAATAAGGGTCTTATCAAGCGAAACGATCGCTCATTTTTTTAAAAAAATAACAAAGTTTACGTTTTATAAGATCAAACGCTCGCCTTGCTCTGTTTTGTGGTGCACGTTCGTGACTCTCCTGTTCGAACTCGTTCAACAAAATGAACAAATCTTTTTTCGAATCAATTCATTCGTTTCTTTCGCTGAATGAACCAAATGACAAGATTTCTTCATTTTGATGAACGAGTTCGAACAGGAGTGCGTTACAGAACAGAGCAAGGCGAACGTTTGATCTAATAAAACTTAAACTTTGTTATTTATTTATAAAACGAGCGATCGTTTCCCTTGATAAGACCCTTATTCATCGTCTGGAATCGTTTAAAGCTCTTTGAACAAGTTTGCAGTTTGAACTTAAAGTTTCTTTTGGAACTTGAACCGTTTGGTTCCCATTGAAGTCCATTATATGGAGAAAAATCCTGGAATGTTTTCATCAAAAGCCTTTATTTCTTTTCGACTGAAGAAAGAAAGACGTGGACATCTTGGATGACATGGGGGTGAGTAAATTATCAGCAAAAGTTTTTCAAAAGTGAACTACTCCTTTAAGAATTAAGTGCATCCATGGATTTTACTACAAATATGATTTCATTGCACGACATGTTCGCTCCCTAAAAAGTCCAACAATGCACCATGAAAACCAGGGAGCATTGATGGAGCTTTTGCTGTTCCCTCTCGGGAGCTTCACGTAAGGCAGCTGATTCGCTCGCTCGACCACAAAACCTTTCAGCGACAGCATACAATTAACTTTGTTTCACACTCTCCTAACTCACTCGCTCGACCTCCATTAATGGTTGTTTCTCTCTCTTTTTGAACGGTAAGATTAACACATTCTCACTTGAATCCCTCAAGGACAATCAGAAGTGCACATCGCTGGGATTAACAACAAACTTGACAAGTGGAAGAGGAAGAGGCCAGGTAAAATACAGTAATCAAAGAAATTAATATTTTTATTCAACAAGGGTGCATTAAATTGATCAAGTGAGGGTTAATGTATCAATTTAAAGGGATACTCCACTTTTTTTGGAAATGGGCTCATTTTACAACTCCCCCAGAGTTAAACAGTTGGGTTTCACCGTTTTCAAAAGCATTCAGCCGATTTTCGGATATTTAGAAGAATATCAGTAACCAGACAATTTCTGGTCTCACTGACTTCCATATTAGGAAAAAAAATATACTATGGAAGTCAATGAGACCAGAAACTGTCTGGTAACTAATATTCTTCTAAATATCCGAAAATCGGCTGAATGGATTCAAAAACGGTAAAACCCAACTGTTTAACTCTGGTGGAGTGGTAAAATCAGCCTATTTACAAAAAAAGTGGAGTATCCCTTTAAGCAGTACAACTGTTCTCAACTTTGGTAAAAATAAGACATGTTTCTTAAGTACCAAATCAGCATATTAGAATGATTTTTGAAGGATCATGTAACACTAAAGCCAGTCATGATCCCACAAAATGTAATAAATAATAATAAATTACATTTTGTGTACATGGGTGGGTTTATTAGTTTCCGATAAGTTTTCTCCAAATGCTATGGACCTCCTTGTTTAACAGATTTTGAGAAATCCTGGGAAACTGAGCATACCACATTGAGCGTAGCAGGGGGAGAATTTCCTCCCACATGCCGACAGAAACCTTGCATTTCATCTTCCCATCTGTGGGCCTTTTTGAATCCATCCGAGGGCGGCCAGAGTACTTTGTGACACTGCTTTAAAAATGTTTCTACCGCTCCGTTCTTCCCAAAGTTTTTACACTGACGACTTCATTACCACACACGTCATTCGTAAGCAATCATCGAATTGCAGCAGTCCAATAAGAGGTCCGAGAAAGAACAGAGAGATGGCCAGCTTCTGATCCGGACCGTCAAGATTCTCCTATGGCTAGCATTAGAGAATTCAAACAGTTTGCCGACAAAGGTTAAGTGCCAATATCAGCATAGTGAAACAATGCAGACTAATACTCCCTGAGCAACTCATCTGGGTTACGTTTCGGCCCTCCTGTGACCACACTGGTCCAAGACTCTACATCTGCTAGAACTACATCTGGCCTGCCACTCCAAGCGAAGCTCATTCAAAAGTCATCTACTTTTAACAAACCACTGTAAAACTTCATAAAGTTGCAGGAAAGTAAGGTTTTACGATTGTCTACACACAACTATGGTGATAATTTCCGGTGGTTGCCCACCAAAACTATATAATGCACAGCTACCATTTCTATAAATCCACATTTTCTTCTATATACCTCTTTTTCTGAAGCTAGAGATTGGAAAACTACACCCCTCTCGCTCATATTTGGGGCCTCTCTTGCACTTTCCCAGAAGCACTCTGCATGAGCTGACCAGGGCATAAATCACTAGGCCTTTAAAATCCACCCTGTAACAAGTTCACACAGCGACAGGAAAAATATTATTTATTTTTTATCAGCCATGTCTCTCTCTCTCTTGTTATACGCAGGGTGATATGGCACGCCGATAAGTCAAGTCAAAGCTGATTTGACAGCTTTATCGTGACCGTGATTGAGATGGAGAAATCTGATAGGCCACTTCCCCCAGGTGAGCGGCAGTTATCGCCCAATCGGATTTCACGCATGTCTGCACTCTTATCAATCCTCAACCCGTCTGCCCGTCAACACCTATCTCCCTCAGCCAATCAGAGAAGGGCACAGGACGCTGCCCGGCAACCAGCAAGGCAGCTCAGACATCAAACACACGCTAGAACACAAACACTTCAGTAACAACAACTTTCTTTTCTGGCGAATCTCCTTTTAAAAAACTAGGGGAATGATTTCGGAGATTGACATCGGAGGGAAGCTGGGTGCAGTGACCCAAGTAATAGATTACTAGTTGTGTTTGCTAAGTCAAGCATCACTTTTACTACTTTTCACACTTAGGCTGCATCTGAAATCGCATACTTCTCTACTATATAGTAGGCGAATATAGTAACAGTGTGTGAAAAAAGTAGTATAGCCGAATTTGCAGTACTAATGATCTACTTCTTCCACTGAGACTCTAAATTTGTGATTTGTGAATTGAAATTAAGCATAGGTCATGTGATAAAGGCAACATGGTTAATGTTAGTAGGTACACCCAGATTACATTCATACTACACACATTTATACTACATAGAACGTAGTTTTTAGTGAAAATAAGTACCTACTCAAGAGAGTATGCGATTTCGGACGCAGCCTTAGAGTTAGGGAACTATTAAACTTAGTAGATAAAAATCAATCAAACATTAAAATCACTCAAAAATTACTTTTCTATGCAATTAAACTAATGATTTGTTCCCCTAGCAATCACTCAAAACACCCTATATACTGCAATACACAAACCCTAAAACCGTATTCTGGACAAATGTGGGCAAAATAGATTTGATTTATTTTTTTTAAAAATACTTCCCTTGATCTGAGCGGTACAAGACTTGGCTACTTTTCCTAAGTTTGCCTCCTGAACACACACAATTTTTTTTTTACTAATTTTTACAATGTTAAGTGGGTGAAAAAAACTCCTTAATCTTGTATTTGAGTCAAAAATGGGCATGCATAGAAATGAATGGGGAAAACTGTCATTTAGAGCATTCTAAAATAAGCCAAAATAAGACACCGGGCGACAGCAAAGTCAATTCATCTTTAGGTTTTAGCTCTAAGAACT